ATCATAAAACATTCGATGGTCGCTCCTTTGCCCATTCTGGACCATTTCTTGGAGCAGCCTTTCTATGGACGGTTTACGTAAGAACATTTGGGTGGAAAGTTTCGCTAGGGTCTCGGAATCCATTTCTTGTCTCAGACCAAAAACAACTTTACCCTTTAAATCTAATGTCCACATACGAGTTCTCCAGAACGATCTCCATACATTTCCTTGAAAAATTAGTTGGGAAATTTTGCCTTTTTCACGAGAATCGGTGCCCAAATTTGGAACTCTATTCCGTATTCGATTAAAATACTTAAACGCTCGTCCTTTCGTAAAAAAATAAAGGAATTATTACTAAATTTTTTGCGGTCAGAAGATGATTATGTCGAATTTTCCCGTCTTATTAAGTTATTTAATACTTTAGGTTAGCCTCTCTTCGTAATCGTTATGTACATGCCTTGTTTTATGTTAGTTTAAATTCTATTTACTGTATTGTAGTGTCTTCACTGTTATTTAGTCCATCTATATGTAAATCTTGTTTTGTAATATGTCTTCAGCTTCCCCCGCCTCGATTAGTTCATAAGCTATTTGCGGGTGTGAAAGTAATGTAATTAGTTATTTTCCAATTTTCAATAAAATTTGTTGTTGTTTGTTTGTTGAGGGTCGTGAAGGGGGGTACCAAATCCCAGTTCCCAGGCTAATTTTTGCCAAAATCCCAGTTACCAAATCTAAAATCCCATTACTAATGATTATTTGCAAAATCATGCACATAATAAATTAAATGCACTGATTGACGCTATTTGGATACGTGTACCTTCACCAGGACTGAAGAAAATCTCTCATTCTGCTGGTGAACACTCTTTCTCTTTCAGCCCTTGTTGACATAACCATATGAAAACCAATTCTATCATCTGCACAATCCTCGTCTGACTCACTGTCTTCGCTTTCACTGCTAGCTGGTAGCTAGACCGCGGGCGCGAAGGCGAAAAATACTGATTTCACGGTCTCTACTGAGGAGTGCAAGGTCTATTGCTACGAAATTTTATTTTTCTATTTCAAAATATTGGACCAAAGACCGCTGAAGAAAAGAAATCCCATTCCCATTTTATAATTGATCATCCCATTCCCAGTGGCTAAATCCCAGTCCCAGTGAGTAAATCCCATTTTCCCAGTCCACAATAAGGCTAACCCCAGTTCCCATTTTACCCCTTCACGACCCTCTTTGTTGTTTAAAGATCAAAGCATTTTTCCCTTTGATGTTAATTTTTTTAATTCTTATAAGTTTCCTCTCGATTATGTATCGGTATTGTTAGGAGAAAATTGATGTTAGTCACTCTTGCGACTTAAAGGGTTAAATTTGCTTCTCATGTCAAAATTAAAAACAAATTGTATTTCCTACATCTGAGTCCGGAAATGAAAAGGACGTCTTTTTTTCGGCAACAACTGTGAGTGATTAAATACATAAACTGACTGTATGTTAGTATGTTTGTATAATACTATGAAAAGTTGATCATGTTTGTTGGCTTCACACTAGAAGCGAAGTTAGTATCAAGTAAGAGCTTGATTCAAGTGCACTTGGAAATCTTGAGTCGTTCTGTAGGAAACATGGCTTCAAACTTGTTGACATAGTATACTACTTGAAGAAAAAGCAGTCAATCAGTAAAACGCAATCTCTCCGTTGTACGTGCACATCGTGCACATGGCTTCCATTTCTTAATAGTCAAGTGTGTTCTCAAGTGTGGTGTAGACCATGCTTTGGAGCACATGGCTCAGTTCCATTTCTTATTGGTCAAGTCTGTTCTCAAGTGAAATGATGCGATATAGAGCAAAAATGGTGCAAGTTAGAACAGAAATGATGCGATTTAGAACATGAATGATGTGATTTAGAATATGATTGAGAGCAAAAAAAATAGTGTGACTCGTCAGTAAACTATTCTCTACTAAGAGCGAAGCAGATTGCAGGGATCACCAGTGATTTCAAAATGGATATAATAAATAAAAGAGTACCTTGGCAACCGTAGATTTCCAGTCTCATAGTTATGTGGTTAACCCATGCCACCGGCACAACTCGAATATATCGTGCTAAGATGGGGTCATTCAGTCGGTTATACATAATTCTATTGGGACCGCCAGAATTCCCAGTAAACACCTGGAAAAACAATCATTTATTTATGACAATACTGAGCAGTCCTTTGAGGCAGGGTAGTCAGAGCAAATTGGGGAGGAGCGTTGGGTGACGGCACTAAAAAAGGGCTGTGTAGCAGACTAGAGGCAGGGCGGCTTAGCAGTTAGGATCATCATCACCTACTCCTCCCTTAAGCCAACATTTTGCCCTAAGTAAGAACTAAGTGTTAATGTTGGTCTAGGGGAGGGGTAGGAGGGCAGTTTCACGGAAACGTAAAATGATCTGCAGTTAAAAGCGCTGGAATTGTAATCCGGAGGCCCCGTGTTCAATCTCCGCCCTGACTGCCCGCTGGATTGGTTCTCGGTAGTTCCGAGTTCAGCTCCTCGGTCACCGTTGTAACTGCCAACTGGGTCAGATCTACCAGAGATCTACTAGTTATTGTGTTACCCAGGGGCGGACCAAGGAATATTTGACTGGGGGAGCAATCTTTGGTTTAGAAAGTACTGTTTAACTTTTTTGTGGCAAATTACTTCTCACAAAGACGACCACGTGTTTCTCAATCTGTAAACGCCAGTCGCCGTGGGCGCGGGAGATACTGCTTTGCGAGCTGAGGTAAACAGATCATAGGAAGGTACCCAAAAACAATTACATTTTTGAATATCCGTGGAATTTAGTTTAGTGGCAAAATGCAACGCGCGTTCCATGCATTGAAAAATCAGCCAGTCGATGAAAGAATTTCAGTCTCAAACAAGCTTCAGGTCTGATAGCGCGGTCCGGACCCCATGGACCCTCCCGGAATGCCGTGAAGAGCAGCTGAAATAGTGATATTTGACATAATTTAAAGTTTGTTGACGGTTAATCTTAACCTGCATTTTTGACAGTTGACAGTAAAAAAATAGCCTTTTCTAACTGTTGACGGTTAACTTTTAGGCCATTTGACGGCTGACGGTAAAACCCCATTGAGACCCTCCATCCAAACCTTATTGAATTCAGTATTTGCCTTAACTTTTTTCTTTCATATTACCTTATTACATGAAATTTTCGCGACACGTCAATTTCGCGAATTTCGCGATACAAAAAAAACTGCGAAATTAAAGTGACGCGAACAATGAGAGTCGCGAAGATAACATGACACGAAAATTAGGGACTCACATTATGTCCATAATCAAAAGTTTATTACCACTGAAACGTTTACAAATCACATGTTTTACTTTTCTGATGAATTTTCAGTGTAAATGGATATTGTGTTCTGATTGACCTCAAGCTGAACCAGTGAAGAACAATACACGTACAACCATGAACTGCTTGTGGACATTGTGAGAACAGCTTGGTTTTTCTTAATTTTGAAGTTATTGTTCCTTTGACAAAGTCGTTTTATTAAATAACATTGCCTATGAAATGTAAATTGTTGTACTCAAAAACGCGAATTTAAAGTGAATCAAAATATAAAATTTTCGCAAAATCGCGAAATTTAGCTGTTGCAAAATATGCGCACATCAAAAACGCGAATTAAACATGTCGCGAAAATTTCACGTAATAAAATAAATCACTAGGCGTTCCATACAACACTGAGGATATGCCTAAGGCACAGTGGGGGGAGGGGGAGTGGGGAACTGGCTATAACAAGTTCCCCCTCGTTAGGGAGCTTAAGCAACAACGACGGCGACGGCGACGGCGACGGCTACGAAAACGTCACTTAAAAAGTGAATTCGCGCTGCTTCAAACTTTATCGTCTAAAGGACTCCGTCAAAGTTCAGTAAAAGAAAAAGAACGTTGTTGTCTTGTGTTCCCGTCCTCGACAAAACATGAATTTAGGCACTTTCACGTTGTAGTCGTGCAAGGACTGCAAAGAAATGTTAAAAAAAAGAGTGATACACGTGCAAAGTTATTGTTTTGCTAAAAATCAGACCGGAACTATTGCTTTTTTGTGATTCTCTTTGCCGTCGTCGTTGCTTAAGCTCCATATTTAGCAAGTCCAGCGTACCTTTGCTGAAGCATTCGAATTATTAGATTCTTTGTAAAATTGCCATATGACTCCGTCAGAACTGTACCGGATCTTAAACTTTGTCACCCATTCTGAGAGTCCGTATCCACTTCCCTGAGTCGCGACACGTGTTACTTTGGTGTAACCACCAAGGTCCACTTGAAGCCACTGGTGACGATCATTTTTAGCAGCTGCCCAGCATCCTCTATTCCTCCACGACTGTCTCGAATTTAGCCTTGCCTTTTTTGCAGAATAGTCTCGTCGCCAGTTCTTGGTATAATGCGAAGATGCACTTATTTGAGCATCAGAAATGGCCCCGCTTTCCATTCCAAGAGGATCTATATATTTCAAGCAAAATATATGTCAAACAAGGAAACAAACAATAGAAAATAGTCAAGAGGTAGTGGAATTTCGTCGCCCATTTAGACAAGACCTCAAAGTACCCTATGGCAAGGGCCGACAGTGTTAGGCTGCTATCACTTAAAGTTATTGAATAAGTGTTTTTTCCCCTGTGTTGGAGGTCAACTATAAAGAAAAAGAGGGTAAAAAGGCCATATAATAAAGAACTTATTAACCTCGTCCGTTTGGTCATTACAGGGAAATCTCAGACCGAGGCCTCGCTGTATAAATAGGGAGCTTAAGCAACGAAGACGGCGACGGCAACGAGAACGGCAAAAATGCAAAAGGTTTATATTAGCAAAACAACAACGTTGCACGTGAATCACGCTTTATTGTCCATTTCTTTGCTGTCGTTGCACGCAGTTTCGTCGAGGACGGGAACACACAACAACAAGTTTCTTTTTCTTTCCTGAACTTTGCTACAGTCCTTTAGAAGTTAACTCCAAAAAAATCTGCCAACATTTCACGAATTAAACGAGAGAGAATAAGCGTGATAGCGTGATAAAGTTGAGGCAGCGCGAATTCATTTTTTAAGTGACGTCTTCGTAGCCGTCACCGTCCTTGTTGCTTATAAGCTCCCTATTACATCAAGGCCTCGGTCTGAGATTTCCCTGTAATCTCGGACGTCAATCGCGGTTGATAAGTGGTGTTTGTAATCTACATCGATTTAAAAATTTGTTTAAAAGTGAAGTTTAAACAACGCCTTCATTCGCCAGTCTTCGTCAAGGCTTGAAGCTACCGAGCGAAGTTACGTAAAAAAATTGCTCCCTCTGCCTGTCCTCGAGGTTGATGGCAATACAAGGTAGCCCATATCCGAGTTCCCCTGGGCCTCTGTATCAAAACGACTAGTGCTCAGCCATTGATATGGAGATGATTTCTCATTCTCATGCAAATAAAACTCAGTTTCAGAAGAGTGGCTGTGCAATTGGCTTCATTTTGAAAGTGAGGGTTTTCGGAACTCGGAAGTGGCCTATTGCCTTTGAAAATTTGAATTGAAAACTACATTGTGCCTAGAAGAAGGCCAGTTGTTCTGAAACATCCTTACCGGAACACGTTAAGGCGTGATAGGAAGCTCGGAAACCGGAGAAAGATTTGTTGTTGTCCGTTTTAAAAACCACAAACATTTGGTTTGCTGAAGAATAGAGTCCACCCTGAGGGGGCGGGTGTCCTCCGTAAAACACTCCCAACACCTCCCCTGTGGTATTCCCTCCATCGTACACACGAATGACATCTGTGTTGTTTTCAGCCTGTAAACTGAAACTTGATGAGAACATCAAAAACACGTGCTGTGATTGGTTGACTCTGATATTCCAGGAACAGTAGGCTTCATTCGGGTAATTGTGAGGGAAATTCGGAGACTGAAGGACACCACTGTCTGCACCCACGTGAGTCTCGTTGCAAGCTTCGCATTCTAGGATTACAAGATTTCCAAGCAATAAAATGATGAATACAGTAAAAGCCTGCGTTTTAAGACCCGGCATTTTCCCAAGATAGCCGAACAGGTACTTAGATAAAATAATAATTAGCACAGTCACAAATGTAAGGTATTTAGGGTAGGTTCTTAAAAAGTTTATTTTCTGAAGAAAAAAATAATTGTAGCTAGGAGCTAGTATTTAGTGGTATTCGGCTTATTCCTTGTACAAAATCTGCATACTAAATTAGCATTGCAGTTGGAGTGTGTGATAAGGCACCTATGTCTCCAAAGAGGATTCTAAATGTTGACTTATGTTATTTACCCAAGTGTACAGAATTATCTTTTATCGATTTTAGAAAATAAGAACATGGTTCAAATTTTAATGAATTAATTTTCATTTATCATTCATTCAAAATATTTCCCCAATTCTGATTGGCTAAATGCACACGCATAATTCATCATAACCAGTTACTGATGACCAAATTTGGTAGAAGTTTGTGTTTAACGAGGAAATGACGTCAAAATGTAGTCCTCTACAGGTTAAGGCACCGTTAACCGAGAAGACCTGGGGACGAAGCTGAGTTGTTTTCGTTGTGAAAACTAAAATGGCGGACACTCGGACACGTCACATGGTAAGAACAGCAAGAAGACAACTCGAAGGGCGACATCTGCTATTTGGAGGAATATTTGCGGAGCTGAACAACCCTAAACGTGCACTACTGAAGATGAACTTAACATCGACGGATCGATGGAGGTAAGCATGTTTTAGCCATGTTTTTAAACTAGGAATTATTTTGAATGAATAATAAAACAATTATTGGAGGAGGGTCCAAGAGGAGACAGAGGACGCGAAGAAGACGCGAGGGTAATATATTGTAATGTATTCTAATGAATTTAAAACAAAGGAAAAACAAAAATTAACTAAAATAAAAATTAACTGCAACATATATATTTATTTATTAAAAACTGAATCATTGGATAATGCAATTCTAGAGCCCTGATTGGCTTAGCCATCATGGTATATATCACTTTAGTATATACTAAAACAGTTCATAGTGTTTTTCGGGCGCTCTGATTGGCTACTCAATCAGTGAATATCCTGCACTATTCACTGATTCACCTCCAGTTCCTCCGAGCGAGCGACGCCAAACTCGCGTAGGTTGCGAGCAAAATGCTTTCCCGGTTTGCTGCCGTAACAAACTAAGAAATTTCTCAACTAATCAAGCAAGCTATTTCCGAAATACATGAAGAAGATGACGAAGTTCGGTTTGGAAGTTTTAACAGGTGAAGCTTTGTCTTTTTGACTTGAATAGTTATCGATAAAACCGGTGAAAAGTTTTTTTGTTTACAAATGCAAATTGAGCTTAAGTATTGCGTTACTTTATTTAGTAATTCGCAACTCCTTTTGAAGAAACTTCCCCGCAAGAGCTAAACAAACGCCTTCAAAAGTTTTATTTGTCGCTAAGAAAAAGCGACGACCGCGGCCGTTGGGTCATCGCGCGCCAAAATTATAACCGTTGGCAACAGTAAATGAGTTAAAAATCATCATTTTGCGCTCAATTATCTCACTGTTTTAGGCCCCGTCCACACGTATCCGGAGATTTTTGTATCCGCAAATTTTTTTATGCGGATACAAAAATATCTGCGTCCACACGTAGCGTATACGAATCGTATACAACCGTCCACACGTATCCGATTCGTATCCGGACATCTCAAAGGATTAGTCAACAGAGCATGCGCATTACAAAGAAAGCTGAGCCTGCGATAATTTTGGCGCCAGCGTATACAAAAATATACGGATACGAGCGTCCACACGTATCCGGATACACAGCGTATACAGAAATTTCCACTCTGGAGAGCGTATACAGAAATCTCCCGATACACCGAGCGTATACGGCGGACACGTGTGGACGCTAGGTGTATCCGCATAAAAAATTTTGCGGATACAAAAATCTCCGGATACGTGTGGACGGGGCCTTAGTATATACTAAAACAATTATTCACCTCAGTGTCGGTGGCTAGTAGTGGATATATTTACCTCGCCGCTTCGCGGGCTCGTTAAATATCCAATACTAGCCACCTCCACTTCGGTGAATAATTGTTATTTATTAAATACATACTGAGAAATACTCACCAAAAAGCTATGTCGTAAATTTTCGTACGCAAATTAGTTCTAGTCAATCAGAGGAGCGAACGATGGTTTTCACACGTGAAAAAAAATGATACGTCCAATCAGAATCGCGAACGAAGTTTTTTCACGTGTGAGAAAAATGATACGTCCAATCAGAAGCCACAGAGGTGTGTGAGTTTCGCGCCAAAATTCCCGCCTTTTATTGCAGCTTGCACCGCCGCTTCGCACACATTCAACGAGAAAAGTTTTACTCAGAGAGTTTTTCGCGCTAAAAAAGTGAGAAACACAGGGGCACCCAACGGGAAATTTTGAGAAAACGACCTAAAAACAACAACAAAGCGTGAATAAAGTTTTCTGAGACTATTTTAAGCATTTTGGGAGATTGCTGGAAAAAATTATCTGTTCCTCACTCCCAGCAAGACTGATGGAAGAGTTCCCAGCCAGCAACCTTACAACCTGCAACCTGACTTACTGGGAAGTTTCATAGGGCACAATTCAGATCTTGAGTGGTAAGCAACCCATACAAGTAACCCGTAGCAGCTATTCTAGACTTCAAATCCCCTCTGACACCCTGAATTATCTTTTTCCCAGCAACACTTTCCTTCCAAGGACTAATATATAGATTTAGCCGGGGCTAAAAGCGAAGCTCCCGTTAATAAATTCATAATTTAAATCAAACAATAAACTTGTAATCCGCAGATCAGGGCACATTCATTTGACGTTTGAGGCAAAGGCTAAGTGATTTTAGAGAAAAATAATTTGACAGTCCAAGAGTGAAACAGCTTTTACATCGAGTTATTAAATAATCTTATTTGTACACCCAAAAATAGCAATCATGTTCGATCACAGTAGATTAGGCCTGGAAAACAAATAGACCTACCTATTCGTGTATTGTATTTGCATTAGCTGTTGAATCATAATGTGGCATTCACCACTCTCTCCAACATTGCTCCGTTTGAGAGACTATGGATAATTGGACAACCCCGAAATATAATTTTAAGAAACACAGGCGCCACGATAGTCCTTGGTGGCAGCCAATTTACACGTTGCATTCCTCTGTCTAAAAGAGAGGCCAAACTAAAAACTCAGACCGGATTTTTTGTGTTCGACAAGTTTAGTTTACTAGTAAATCTTGGCGACGAATCTGGTGGAGTGCAAACCAGCCTTTTAAACATACTTTTTCTCATCACGTCTCAGGTAAACAGTACTATGAGGCCCTTGTTTTTATCATACAGACCTCGGACAGAATTTGTTCTTTTTTGCCCTATTTAAACCTATAATTCTGCAGTTTTTCACAATTTTGCAAGAGAATTTGCACTCATTCAATATTTACGACGATCAAAGCACGCGCTTCCTTTGCACAACAAATTATAGCATTGAATTATAAAACGTTTTCATGAAGAGAATTCTCTAATTCCAGGACTTTCAGTTAGAAAAATCTGGTCCTATGTGATATGCAGGGTAAAATGGGCTTTTAATGAAAACGATAAAAAAATTCCCAAAATCACTTTTCGGCCAGCCGGACGTGGCTCACTTTTGACAGGCACTAAATTTGCAGTGCGATTAATAGAGTTACCATTTACGCTTCAACATGATAGACAAATTGTATGTTTAGGTTTTATTTCCCTTTATTTATTAAACTGCGGACGGTTTTGTTATGTGTAATCTTTAAAAGCGAGTGATATTTACGCGCGACGTTTTGAGTATTCCTGCATGAGATGTTTATGTTCGACTGGATACAACCGGTGCAGCGATAAAAATTGCGAGAGGGACTACTAACAATCAATAAAATATATATAATTCGGTGAAACACGTACAGAGACAATAATTTTCATTCACGAAGAGAAGTATTGAGAGTAAAGTGTCTTTGAAAATCATGAGTCAGGTAAGCATAAGCTTATTTATGTTTTAAGCCGGCTTCTCGGTGTTTGCTCTTTTTCAAGATGAACTCGAGGCAAGAAAATCGCTCAGGGCTTTCTTTTTACAGTCAAAATCATAAGTAAATAATCTTCGGAACATTTTCTTTGAATTTGAGGTCAAAAAATGTCTAAAGGCTTTTTAAACCTGATACTATTGTAGGTTAGATCATTGCTCGTATATAAACTTAAGCCGCATAAACCATACGCTCGACTTCAGGAAACCGAAAAAAAAAAACACATCAAAGACAACAATTTCTCAGGCTTACCAGTCGAGATGCTGCTTCTGAAGGTCATCAAGTGTTCCAGAATTTTCAATCCTCTTACGCCTCAAGCAAGGGCAAGTGAGTAGGCTCATTTTTGAAAACGATGCCATCCGAAATCGGATTTCCAATGACTTTGACAAGCGGTGCATTTGTCAACAAAGAGCGCTATGTCATAACCAAATTTTCTCAGATGGATAGTTTACCAAATTTTCTTACCCATGGCGCTCCGCTCTGCGCGCGCTTCGCGCGCGCGAGGAGCTCCGCTATTATTTCTTCCACATCTCCCAGCCAGCAAAAATTTGCATGAAGAACAGATATTTTGAGGAACAGATCCATTGGGTGCCCCTGGAAACATTTCGGAAATGGAGTGGAATAGTTTCGTTTGTTTCACTGTCGATAAAGAAAACGGTAGAGAGCCGGCGAAACAACAACGGAAAGGGATAAACAGAACGAGACGTAAGCTTTTGTTGTGCTTTTTGTCGGAGCTACTTTTACCGGCCATTTTACTTAAATTCTCTCATTTTAAATTGTGCGTTGAGAACAAACAGTTAAGATTACATATAGTTCTTGGATTACCTCATATCCTTACCGTCATTTGTGTTTTTAACAAACGTTTTTACTAAAAAGCGGATACTTCGTTTTCGTTGTCATTTTGCGGTAAGTGTGTAGCGGCAAATTTTAGCATTTTTGAAAGATTTAAAATAAAAAGGCCGCCAAAATGATGAATGTCTCAGTATGTATATAATAAACACAATACCACATGGAAAGTGATTTGTACGGTATTTGCGGACTCATTGTTTTTGTATCAGAAATCTTACTCGTTCTACCGTCGAATAACCAACATTGTATTGAAAAAAAGGTCAAGGTGTTAAAAATGCTAAATGACCGGCAGTCCCATATTCTTGGTGAATTTCACAAAATCGAAAGATTCTAGCTAATCTAAACTATCATATGTCGATTTAGAAAAGTCAAGCGAGTTTGGTTTGCGCTGGGCTCAGAAGAGTCAGAAGACGAAACCATGTTTTGTGACACTTAGAACTTTTTTCAGCTCGACTGCCGGTCAAGGTTTTCAAAACACTAAATGGCCGGCAGTCCTATATTCAGTACATTTCGCTGTACTTTTCTTAATCGACATATGATAGTTTGGTTTAGCTGGATTATTTCGATTTGAGAAATTTATGGAGAATATAGGACTGCCGGTCATTTAGAGCCAGTTTGAAAACCTTGACCGGCAGTCGAGCTGAAAAAAGTTCTGAGTGTCACGAACCATAGTTTTGTCTTCTGAGCCCAGCGTGAACCAAACGTTATTCTTGAGATCTATAAAGCATTTCGGGATCGCTTGACTTTTAATTTCTTACTGGACATATGATAGTTTGGTTAAGCTAGATTTTTTCGATTTGTGAAATTTACTGAAAAGACAGGACTGCCGGTCATTTAGTATTTTGAAACGCTGTGGCTATATGACCGGCAGTCTGGTATTTTCACCAAATTCGACTTATCTAAGAAATAAATAAATTCGACTTATCTGCTTATCGACTTATTTAAGAATCTTATCTAAGAATCCCTACCAATCCAAACTATCATATGTCGATTAAGAAAAGTCAAGCGATCCTGAAATGCTTTACAGATCTCAAGTCTAGCGTTTGATTTACGCTGGGCTCAGAAAACGAAATCATGTTTAATGACACTTGGAGCTTTTCTCAGCTTCCTCTTTCCTCTTTCCTCTTTCCTTTTTCCTTTTTCCTTTTTCCTTTTTCCTCTTTCCTCCTTCCTCTTTCCGCTTTCCTCTTTCATCTTTCTCGACTTATCTAGGAAAGTTGGAAGCGACTCTGCTAGCAGGGTAGACTGCCGGTCATTTAGTGTTTTAAAAAACTTGACCGGCAGTCGACCTGAAAAAAGTTCTAAGTGTCACAAAACATGGTTTCGTTTTCTGAGCACCGCGTAAACCAAACGCTAAACTTCAGATATATAAAGTGTTTCAGGATCGCTTGAGTTTTGTTAATCGACATTTGATAGTTAAGATTAGATGGATTTTGTCGATTTGTCAAATTTATAAAGAATATAGGACGCCGGTCGTTTAGTGTTTTCAAAACCTTGACCGGCAGTCAACCTGAAAAAAGTGCCAAGTGTCACAAAACATGGTTTCGTTTTCTGAGCCCAGCGTAAACCAAAGGCTAGACTTGAGATCTATAAAGCATTTCAGGATCGCTTGACTTTTCTTAATCGACATATCGTGATAGTTTGGATTGGTTGGGATTCTTAGTCAAATTTATTGAAAATACCGGACTGCCGGTCATTTAGTGTTTTGAAAACCTTGACCGGTTACCGGTCATATAGCCACAGCGAAAAAAAAACAACAACAAAAACATCCTCTGAAATTGAACAACGTTTGCTCGTGTAATGAACAAGGGTATTTGATCACAGATCAGAGGAGCAAACTCTTTTTCAAAGCTAGTTTAAAGCTGTATGTAATGCTGAAAATCTTTTTAACACCTACTTTTTTTTCTACGAAATTCTGAAGCAAATATAGTACTTACTTGACAATATGTATACCAAGGTAAGCAGGCTGACAGCTTTCCAGAGCATCATCTCTGTTGAAGAGAAATCCGTTCTGCTGACAATGAATCGCCGTAATCGGTCTTAAAGAGTCAAAGAACACTCCTTTTATATCAATATTGGTAAAAGAAAGAGATATTAAAGGGAAAGTTTTGCTGTGACATCCAAACATCCGCTCAAGCAGGTTAAGGCAAGGTTAAACCATTTATGGCTGAGTGGCATTTAGAACTAGAAGGGATTGTTTCAGTTGTTTAGATAATTAAGGTGACTCGACCCAGTTTTTTTTTTGGGGGGGGGGGGGGTACCATCCTACTTTGAAGCTCTCTGGTATCCCCACCTTTACTTTTATCGTAAGTCTAACACATAGGATCGATAACATATAGATCAATCTACACTATAACATAAAATTTTTGGCGATCGGAGCAAATGTCACGTGGTTATAATGCCACACCCCTTTGAGGTCTGAGTCGAAAATCTGCTGTGGCCGGCATTTTTTCGTGAAAATCTCTCGGCTACACATAGTGCGCATTATTGCCTTGCGCTGAACAGAAATTCACCAAAATCGCAAAGACCCAATTCGAGAAATTCAGCGGTTTCCAATTTTAGGTCATAATTTATGCGAAAATGATAAGCAAACTTTACACGATTATATCTAATAAACTATGAGATTCATTCCTTTATTTTGGGGATCGTTATAACAGATGGGTCCTTGGAAGTCAGCAAAAAGCTTTAGGGCCTCGTAAATGCGCGCGATTTCGAGCAAAGCAAACATATAGAAATTATAGTTTTCGTTATTTGTTGACGTTTGTCAGCGTTTAAGAGTTCTTCTCACGAAAAAAGCATTTTCTTAAAAATTCGTAGTTTTTTTTCCGTCAAATTTTTTCAGGGCCACAATTGATTAACTAACTACCTGAATTCTGAATTTCATGGTCACTGAAAAACTGTGACATTATCTTCTATAAGCCCAAACTTGAGTAAATATTGAAGATTTTTAGCGTTTTGGCTGAGTTTGTGCTTTGGGAGTTGTCCATTGTTTCTAGTCTGTCATGATACAGCATTCTTGTTCAGCACGCGGGTAAGTGTCGCGGGTAAAAATAAATCACCAAATTTAACAGAAAGATAAAGTAAACAACAAATTTTTTTTTTAATTTTTCTACGAAGACTAGTTAGCAGCACAAAGGAAGTCGTACGCTTTTTCGTTTATCTCCGACACGTTTCGTCTCCTACTGAGGCTTCTTCAGGGAATGAATACAGCTGACAAAGAACAGCATATATAACACGTTTTTTGCGTAAGTAAAACTTCGATTGAAGTGAATAATAACTTAACTATGCTGTAAACGGACGTTATAAGAAACGCCTTCATACATATGTTATTGCGTGTTGTTATATTTTGAGGGCCATACGATCAGCGCTGATCTATGGCCCCCAAAAACTCAACAGAACTATCGGACTCCATCAGGGTAAAGAATCGATCGAAGTAAACCTGGAAATGTTCTTCCTTTTTGTCAATGTGAAATCAGAACTATGAAAGTTTTACCCAAGTGCACGGGTATTGTTGCCGTGATCAAGCCGCCAGTAACGTGGGAAAAATCCGATTTACCAGGATGGCAAATTCTTTCGTGCTACCGCGCCAAAATTGAGCATGAACGACGAATGACAACTCTCAATTCATATTTTTTGCTGCAAAAAGAAAGTCAAAGCTGTATTTTCGATGAACCAAATTGAGTCTTCTGAATCATATATACATAAGGTAAAAACCATTTCTTTTAAGTGGACTAGTCACATACGCTGACACTGCGGACCCCTACACTGAATAAAGAAGGGGTCAAGAAGGAGAGAGAAAACGTAGGGGGTGGTCAAGAATGTCGTTCAAGGAGGGGAGAATTCTTACTTCAAAGAAGTAGCCACCTTTGTAAGATCTTGCTGGAGGTCTTAATCATTTCTTTTTATTTAATTTCAAGAGCTCGTAGTTGAAAAACAAGAAAGTTCTAATTGAAGTATTATATGGTCTTCTTAAATGTAATAGCTCTTTCTAACTCTTTCCCGTCTAAACCTATCACAGTGTTAAACCCTGGTTTCACTTGCCATTTTCAGGTCTTGGGGCGGGGAGGGGGGGTCTTGACGAAATTTTGATTTTTTCATTTTTCATCAGAAATGAAGATGGAAATGAACTATACATGGAGCTGATGGAGGAAACAAGATTTAAGACTGATCACTCGCAACATGGTAATGATAAAAGATTACACATGTGCCACCAAAATTAATTTTATTTGTCTTTATTTGCAGAAAAAAGAAAAAAAGAAGTATTAGTTAAAGTTAGTTTTTCAGTCCGATTGTGTTTCGGCTGTTTAAGGCGCGGGCCCTGCATTTTTACACTCCCTTTTCAATACACTTCGCTGCTACATATAGGTAATATAGAGGTCAGCAAAGGGCCAACTACTTTTTTGTAATATTGCAACTTAGTACCCTTAAACCCTTGGGCGTACAAGGTACGGGAATGGGTGATATCCCCGGAAGGTTTTTTGAATCAACCACCTAGACAAGTCGTCACATATTCACTGATACTTTTCTTTTCTCTATCAGAACTTAAACGTCCTCCCCAACAAATCCCAAACGCAGGTAGCTCGGTTACTTAGTGCAATTTTAACTAGCCAATGTAGTTTTAATCATGTGGATTTTTCTTTAGTGACTTTTTCCTTTGTATCGCCCTTAGCTTTAAAGTATTGCTAATCTTCCTTGAACGATAAACAAATTTTCCTTTATTTTATTAACATTTGGTGATTTATGTTTACCCACGACTTTTACCCGCACCCGCGACTTCTACCCGCGAGTCGCGACCCGCGACATTTAGACATACTCATGCGCACTATGTGTAGCCGAGAGATTTTCACGAAAAAATGCCGGCCACAGCAGATTTTCGACTCAGACCTCAAAGGGGCGTGGCATTATAACCACGTGACATTTGCTCCGATCGCCAAAAATTTTATGTTATATTGTAGATTGATCTATATGTTATCGATCCTATGTGTTAGACTTAAGATAAACGTGAAGGTGGGGATACCAGAGAGCTTCAAAGTAGGATGGTAACCCCCCAAAAAAACTGGGTCGAGTCACCATAAAGGCTCATGAAAATAGGCCACTTTCGATATATTAAAATTCAGCATGATAGCGAGTCGAGTGCATAAATAAGTTATTTTAGAAAATTATGTTAATTTCCTTGTAAGAGAACACAAAAGAAAATGACTAAACATGTCCTCTAAGACTCGCTATCATGATGAATTTTCATTTATCGAGAGTGACCTTTTGGCATTTTGACAAGCAACATTGTATCAATGGTCTTCACAAAATGTAACATTTTCGATGCTCAGATTTTCAATCACGTAACGACGTAACCTGCAAAATGAACATTAACGATTTTCCGGTTTGTTCTAACAAAATAGAGAGTTTAAGATACTCCGACTACGGACTACGGCTACGGATAAACATGCTACTGCGCATGATCAAAACCACGTGACTGTTCATTTTTCCCGCGTAGTCCTGCGGCTACGGTGAGTTGTTGAGCTGTTTCGCGTAGTCGGGACTACGGAGAACATTTTGCTCGTATTTTGCCGTCTCGGTAATTCAAGAATCTCGTCTTTTCGTAAAAAAGGTTCAATTTGCCTGCTTTAAGTGAGAGGGAAGCTAAATATGTAAGTTGTGTCTAATTTCTGCTCAGATTTACACTTTTAATCCACCGTTGTGACTACATTTTTATCTAGCTAAGCTCATATTTAAAGAAGCTTAGCTGTTTATACGCAGAATTCCGATTGATGGCCGAGGAGAAGAGAAATCATGCAGGTAATTTACTTTCTCTTCACACTTGAAAAGTTTCAATGTTTCTTCGAACTGATTAATGTGTCTTTCTATTCGTGTGACCTTTGTTTATGCGAGTTTTTGTATCGCATTTGCTGAATGAAAATGATGTAAACATCTTCGAGACAATCGAAACTGGGCATTTCAATTCTTCAAACTACATCACATCAGTAGTCGGAGAAGTCCATCTTCTAAATCTAATAAATGAGCTATTACTATTTCTGTCTATTTCTTAAATATTTTACATAAGTATTCATGGGCGAAAAAAATAAAACCTGTGCAACCAAAACTTTGTCTACCAATTTCACCCGAGCTACGGTGATGGAACAAGGAGTAAAGTTGTAGGCGAATCAACTTGTACGCGAATCGACTTGTACGTAATTGCTTCCTTCAAGTATGGAAGAATTTGTTCATTGTTCTAAAGATAAAATCACATGCAAAACTGACTTGCATTTTTGTGAACTGTGGTGAAAACAAGAAAATTTTTGCGTGTTGTTTCCCTCTCCGCCTCTTCTCTCGTAGTCTGCCGTCTGTAGTGGAATCTTAACGTTCTATATTTGCACGACTCAACCCAGTGCTACAAACAAACGGCAACGCTCGTCCAGCCGTAGTTCGTAGTCCGTAGTCTCCGTATCTTAAACTCCCTAATAAAGCCGGGGAGATTCATCGAGATTTTGTGGGCGTTTTTAATAAAACAATTATTCCACTCGCGCTTGTTGGATATGAGATCTAGATGATTATAGCCAACTCGGCGCCTCGTTGGCTATCTACCATCTCATATTGGAATAATTGGATGGATTACGTAACGGTGAAACGTAAGTGATAAATACCAGAAACGTGACCTGTATGTCTTAGTTTTCAATATGTGATTTTTCTGAGCCGTTTAGTCCCGAGGGTACGTTTCGTACTTAAATACAAAAACGATCATTGATCAAAATGATCGGAGGGGGAGTTTTTTTGGATCTTATATATTAAACACGGCACACGTAAAACAGCCTTCCGGACTTGGTATGATTACCGGGACCTTCGAGAAACGGGCCCCCGAAAATAGAACACAGGAACTCGGAACTGCTGAGCAGGAAGGCCCAGTTCTGATTTCCGATAGCTGACTTTTTTCCATTTGAGTCATTAATCACCTTTGATGCCCTTGAAAGATGATATTTTGTCTGGAGAAATTTGGA